AGGTTGTGATGATCCATTGAGTGATAAACAAAGGCTGAATAATAAGACAAAGGGACAAAACTGACCATGGAAACAAGCAAAAAAAAAGTGAGAAATGATGTTTCTGTTTACTTAGAGCCATATTACTAGACAACTTTTGCATCTCCCAGGCAGAGTGTTTGGAATGAACAGAAATGAAACTTACCACACTGAGAAGGAATTTCCAAGGGGACGAAATTTCTGCTGCACAAATGAACAAATGCAGCTGCCAAGTTGCAGACAGCTTTCAGTACATTGGAATCACAAGCATCATGCACACACATGCTGTAGAATGGTTCAGGGTCCACCTTAAACATGAACAGAGTTATATTTAATGTTTCAAGTTACATGACGCACAAGAACACAATTCTTCTAACGGTTCGGTAATAATTTGGAAATATGAATAAACCTTCCAAATAAAGACAATATATTTCAAGAAGGTAGACTTACACACTCAGGGAGATGGTATGGGATGCAAGTCTAAGGGGGAAAAGAGTTATAGAGCTGGCAATTTTTCAGAGCCATTAGGAGCACAAGAGCAAATGTTTCCACCATGCACAAAAGATATGAAGACCAGGCTAGTTTATTCAGGAGATCTCCAATAATCTAAAAATTTAAAAGGAGTCCTACAAAAAGTGGAAACTAGATCAACTTACAAAAAGATTAATATAAACAAATAATATAACTACAGAGAGACAAAATTAGAACCTCCAAGGCACAAAATGAGATCAAACTAACTAGAGACATAAAGAGTAACAAGAAAACATTCTACAAATACATTAGGATCAAGAGGAAGCCAAAGTAATGATCCTATCCGTTCCTCAGTGGGAGGTGGGGGGAAATGGCGGAGGTGCTTAATAAGGATGTTATGGACTAGTCAACTATCTGATAAGCAAATGCTTATTGGATAGTCCAGTCGACTAGTCAATTCTCCCCCTCTTGCTGCCTCTATTTAATAGAGGCAGCAAAGTGGGGGGGAGGGGGAATGGGTTACTTCAAAGCCGCAGGGCTGCATGGAGCCTGTACTCCAGGCTCCATGTGGTGCTGCTTTGAAACGCCGTGGTGGTGTTTCAAAGGGGGCAGCACCGCACAAAGCTGACCCTGGGCTCTATGTGGCGCTGCCCCTTTGAAATGCTGTGGCACTATTTCAAAGGGGCAGCACCGCACAGAACCCGGGATCAGTTATGCGGTGCTGCCCCTTTGAAATGCTGCCACAGCATTTCAAAGTGGCATCACTGTGTGGAGCCCAGAGTCAGGTAGGGACTCCCTAGCTGACTCTGGGCTCCCTGTGGCATTTACGTGGAACCTGGAGTCAGCTGGGGAGTCCCCAGCTGATCCCATACCCCCTGAGGTGCTGCCACTTTGAAATGCTGTGAAGACCCTTGGCTCCGTGCAGCATTTCCACAGAACCTAGGGTCAGCTGGGGAGTGCCCACCTGACCCCAGATCCGTTGGCATTTCAAAGCAGCAGCACTGCATGGAGCCCGGGATCAGCGGGAGACTCTGAGTCCCCAGGCTCCATGCGGGTGCTTCCACTTTGAAATGTTTGAAAGTTTTGTACATTTCAAAACTGGCACATCGTGTGCAGTCCAATGCCAGCAGGAAGTCCCACTGACTCTGGGCTCCACGTGGGCACTTCCGCTTTGAAATGCTCAAGAACCTCTGGGAGCCCACATGGAATCCGGAGTCAGCAGAGTTCCGCATTCCTACTTTGAAATGTACAAGAGCCCCTACAGGGGCTCTTGGGTATTTCAAAATTGGAGGTGCCTATCCACTAGTTGAGTAGTCGGAAATTCTATCAACTATTTGACTAATAAATTGTTATTTAACATCCTTAGTGCTTAATGACTTCTTTGGTTCAGTTTTCATCAAGACGGTTGATGGCAATTGGAAGTTTAACATAGTGAATACTAGTGAAAATAGGATAGGATCAGAAACTAAAACAGGGAAAGAATGAGTTAAAAATTATTTAGACAAATCAGATATTTTCAAGTCACCAGGGCCTGAAGAAACACTCAAGAAGCTGACTGACGAGCTATGTGATGAGGTTCAAAATGGACAACTGCAGAGACCTGCATTTGGGATGGAAAAATTCCAAGCACTGCTAAAGACTGATGACTGATTGGCCAAACAGCAGTTTAGCAGAAAAGGACCTGTGGATTACAGTGGATGAGAAGCTGGATATGAATCAACAATGTGCCCTTGTAGCCAAGAAGGCTAACAGCATACTATGGTGCATTAGGAGGAGCATTGCCAGCAGATCTAGAGAAATGATTATTCACCTTTATTCAGCACTCATGAGGCCACACCTGGAGTATTGCATCCAATTCTGGGCCCCCCATTTCAGAAAGGATATGGACGTATTGACTTGAGTCCAGTAGAGTGCAACAAAAAGGGAGCACATGGACTTATGAGGAGAGACTGAGGGATTTAGGCTTATTTAGTCTACAGAAGGGAAGAATGAGGGGAGGATTCAATAGCAGCCTTTATCTACCTGAATGGGGATTCCAAAGAGGATGGAGAGAGGCTGTTCTCAGTAGTGACAGATGACAGAATGAGGAGCAGTGGTCTCAAGTTGCAGGGAGGGAGGGCGAGGTTGGATATTAGGAAAAACTATTTTACTAGGAGGGTGGTGAAGCACTGGAATGGGTTACCTAGGGAGGTGGTGGAATCTCCATCCCTAGAGGTTTTTAAGTCCAGGCTTGACAAAGCCCTGGCTGGGATGATTTAGTTGGGGTTGGTCCTGCTTTGGGCAGAGGGTTGGATTCTAAGACCACCCTGAAGTCTCTTCCAACCCTATAATTTTATGATTCTATGAGTCTGAGCCATTAGCTATTATCTTTGAAAAGGCAGGAGAAATTCTAGAAAATTGGAAAAGTGCCCATCTACAAAAATAAAGACAACCCAGGTAATTACAGACTTGTCAGCTTAACTTCTGTACTAGAAAAGATAATGGAGCAAATAATTAAGCAATTTGAAAACATCTGGAAGATAATTAGATGATAAGAAATAGCATGGATCTGACAAGAATAAATCATGTCAAAATGTATAGCTTTCCTTGACAGGATAATAAGGCTTGTGGATTGGAGCAAGTGCTAGATGTCATATATCTAGACTCTAGTAAGGCTTTTGATACAGTCTCTTCTACCAAACTACTGAAATACAGCCTCCATGGAATTACTGTAAGGTGGGTGCATAACTGGTTGGATAACTGTTCCCAGTCATTCTGGAAGGGCATAATGAGTATGATTCCACAGGGATCAGTTCTGGTTCCAGTTCTGTTCAATATTCTCATCAATGATTTAGAATAGATAATGACATAGAAAGTACACTTACAACATTTGCAGATGATAGCAAGCTGAGAGAGGTTACAAGTACTTTGGAGGATAAGATTATAATTCAAAGGGATCTGGACAAATTGGGAACATGGTATGAGGTAAATAGGATGAAATTCAGTAAGGACAAATGCAAAGTACACGATTTAGGCAGCAGCAATCAATTGCACATGGGAAATAGCCTAAGAAGGAATATTATGGAAAGAAATCTAGTGGTCATAGTGGACCACAAGCTAAATATGAGTCAACAGAGTGATACTTGCAAGAAAGGCAAACATGTTTCTGGGATGTAATAGCAGGAGTGTTGTAAGTAAGAAATGAGAAGTAATTATTTTGCTCTACTCCACAAATCAGGCAAATCAACTGTAAAAGAATGAAATCAAGAACTTCAGAGAAACTGACTTTTTCTTTCCACATGTCCGTTGTCTGACATGAGTATTAACACATCTTTTATTGCAACTGGTTCTAGGGCTTTATGTAGTTCCAGACTCTAGACCATACATTATAATGTCAAGGCAAGATGATATTCCATAGCTCAGAGAAATGTATTTATGTGGTAGAGAGACTGTGACATTTGGTTAGTAATTCTGTGATACCATTCTGATCACTAAAGCGATTGAGTTTTCAATTAAACTGATGGTTAAAAGCAATGATACTGTGTGGCATTCACTTGTCCTGGAAATTTTCATAATTCAGCAAAGCAGCTTTGAAGAAAGTTGCTAGAAGGTACAACCTGAGTCCTAATAGTACTTACAACTTTGAAGCAGTTCCTAAGAAGAGAGTGGGGATCTTGAAAAAACATTTTACAAATGTTTGTCTTAGCTGTGCTGGAACATGGCTTTGCTTTCTTCTGCACGTAGCTGCAATGACTGCTCACCTGAGAAAACAAGACTAGTCAATGAATAAAGACAGTTTTTTTAAAGCACTAACATGCTGTAAACCCTTTCAGGTACATTGGGAGATATGACTGACTGCAAGTCATTTAGATTAAGGCTTCTTAGACTTATTTTTCTTTATACCACTCTGAATACTTTTTTATTGTTTCATTATATTAATGTAAGCAGGGACTGAACTGCTGCTTGCTATCAGCCAGCTAAAAGGAGAGAGCTGCCCTGGGGTGGGTTGCCCCCTACAATTGTTTAGCTCTGAAAGATAATTAACTGTTAACTGTTGATATGTAAATACAGCTCATGCCAGGATGGGGAGACAATACGAGGTGTGGCTATGTTAATCCAATTCAGCCAGGGCTGATGGAGGATCAGTGTTGGAATGGAATGTGGTGTATTGTAAATAATTTGGGGCTATTGTGGGGGGGGTCACAAATCATGCTACAGGGGTACTGTAAAACATGCCACCAGTGCTTGCAGGAGAGACACCACTATCATTGTAACAGGTCTCCGTGGAACAAGCCTCCCCACTTCCAGAGTTGAGTGGACTGAGCTGGGGGAAAGAATTAAAGGGCTAAGACTGGCCCAACCTGCCCCTTTCCCCCTTTCATTTAAGGACAGACCTATAGCAGACTCTATGTAGAAGCTGGAATCCTTTGCCAGTCCAGGTGCTGGCTAAAGCATTGAAATCACTAAGAGCTGAAATCACTGGTTTGGCTGGGAGCCAGACCCATTGCAGCCAGCGAAGCGGCGGCAGGTGGTGTGGCACGGCTGGTAGGAGCGGCAGCAGGCGAGGCACAGTGGCAGGCAAGGAGTGGCGGCTAGCAGCATGGAGTGGCAGCGGGCGAGGAACAGTGGCAGTAGGCGAGGAGTGGTGACCAGCAGCATGGCATGGCTGGTAGGAGCGGTGGCAGGCGAGGAGCAGCGGCAGGCGACCAGCAGAGCATCTGGTGGCGTGGAACGAGACAGCTGATGGAGCGTGGCGCCAGCAGCATGGCATGGCTGGTAGGAGTGGCGGCAGGCGACCAGCGGAGCATCCGGTGGCGTGGAACGAGACAGCTGGTGGAACGTGGTGGAGTGGCTTGTAAGGTGCCCCCTATCTATTCCCCCACCCCATTTCTACCCAGGTTGGGAGGTGAAACCCTGCAGGTGAACTTTTGGACTCTGGGTGGCACTGACCAGAGACAGAGACTTTTGAGGTGTTGGACTTTGGGTGATTCTTGGCTGGGTGGGGGGCTTAGCTCATGTTTGGGTCATGAACCCTGTTAGTGGTATTTTCCCAAGTTAATGCCGTATGACTTCTCTCTCTGTTTCATTAAATGTTTCTTTCCTACACTCAGACTCTATGCTTGCGAGTGGGGAAGCATTGCCTCTCAGAGGCACCCAGGGCTGCATCTAGACTAGCAAGATTTTGCGCAAAAGCATGTGATTTTGAGCAAAAACTTGCCAGCTGTCTACACTGGCTGCAAGTATTTGCGCAAGAACACTGACTTTGTACTATACAAAATCAGTGCTTCTTGCACAAATACTCCGATGCTCCCGCTCAGGGATAAGCTCTCTAGACAGCCATATTAATTTCTTGCGCAAGAATGCCCGATGGCTAAAATGGCTTTGCAAAAGATGTGCCAGTGTAGACGCTCTTTTTGATATTGAACCCGGTCCTGGTTGCTGCCAGGCCTACCTGGCAGAAGGGTTACATTAAGGTGTGGCTTGCACACTTTATAAACAAAACAAAAGTGGTATCATCCTATAAATATTACAGGTTACAAACACTGTTTCCTTTTTCTGTTGATTTTTGTGATTCATTATAGATTTTTTTTCTTTTTTATGGCTGCTGAATCAAGTTGTTGGCTAGCATTCTTTTTTTAATCTTTCTTTAACCTTTTTTTAATGATGCTAGTAAAAGCACTTCTTTTAATAGGTCCTTTTATAGAGAGCAGTTACATAGATTCTGACAATGTATATTCTTTTTAATAAGTGAAATAAATTTTAAAAGAAAATTATCACAAGTGAAAGCAATGACAAATACTTCTGGGCTGCATCTAGACTGGCAAGATTTTGCGCAAAAACGTTTGCTTTTGCGCAAAATCTTGCCATCTGTCTACACTGGCCACGAGTATTTGCGCAAGAACACTCACCTTGTACTGTACAAAATCAGTGCTTCTTGCGCAAATACTCTGATTCTCCCGCTCAGGGAAAAGCATGAACATTGCACATCTGTGCATAAGATTGGTACACCATGACTGTGTCTACATTGGCAGCCTTTTCCGGAAAAGGGATGCTAATGAGACACTTCGGAATTGCAAATGCCGCGGGGGATTTAAATATCCCCCGCGGCATTTGCATGAACATGGCTGCCGCTTTTTTCCGTCTCGGGGTTTTGCCGGAGAAAAGCGCCAGTTTAGACGGGATCTTGCGGAAAATAAAGCCTTTTCCGGAAGATCCCTTAATCTTCTGGAAAAGGGCTTATTTTCCGCAAGATCCCGTCTAGACTGGCGCGTTTCTCTGGCAAAACCCCGAGCCGGAAAAAAGCGGCAGCCATGTTCATGCAAAAGACACGCGGGGAATTT